ATCGTAATAAAGTCAGGTCCTAGGGGCGCCTGGGTGGCTCAGTCGTTAAGCGTCTGCCTTTGGCTCAGGTCATGGTCCCAGGGTCCTGGGATCGAGCCCCGCATCGGGCTCCCTGCTCCGCGGGAAGCCTGCTTCTCCCTCTCTCCCTCCCCCTGCTTGTGTTCCCTCTCTCGCTGTGTCTCTCTCTGTGAAATAATAAATAAAATCTTTAAAAAAAAAATTCAGTATTCAGTACCATCGAAGGGAGACCATGCAGAATTTTTCAAGGTGACCACTCGTAGGTGCTCAGCATTTTTAGAGGCCCTGTTGGATGTGACTTAGAATCAAGTTCCATCACTTCAAGTGCAACGGCTCCCGTAATTGCTTCTGTAGGGGCGTGTGTGTGTGTGTGCACTCACGCGTGTTTGGGCACATGTCCGTGTGCGTGTGAGTCCACGCGCGTGTGTCTGTGCAAGTATGCCTGCGTGTGCAAAGATGCAGACACGGCAAGGAAAGGCAAGGGCGCTAGGGCTCCCCACAGGCCCTGCAAGAGGCCCACTGCCCTCTCTCATCGCGTCTTCATTGCTGGTCTCCACCGTGACAGAGACAGGAACGCAACTGGGCATCAGCCAGAAACAACGGCAGTAACTGTCCCGGCAACAGCAGCAGCCCCGGAAGACGACTTCCAGGAACCAGAAAAGCAGCCAGGAGGTGCTCAGAAGGGCAGAGAGGAGAGCTGGGAAAAGAAGAGAAACAGGATGAAGAAGGCAGAAAGGGGCGCTCGTGTAAGTGCGCGTGGCGGGAGAGCACAGCGGGGCCAGGCCGCGAAGCCCCACAGGCCCCACAGGCCCCACAGGCCCCACAGCGCGCGCGGCCCCAAAGCGTGCACAGCGGGCGCGCGGGGCCAAACCCCAGCCACACCCAAGCCTCCCCCTGCACATCCCCTCCCACCACCAGGCGCCCACCGCCGAAGACCCCATCAGGAGCTCCAGGACAAGAGTTAACACTGAAACAAACACAGAGAAGGAAAAAAAAGAGAGATGGAGGGCAAAATAAATCTTTAAAATGTTAGGTTACAATCCAGCTGGAGACCTTCTGACCAGCAGGGCAAATCTCTTCACCTCCATGTCCTTGTGCATAGAAATAGAGAAGAGGGACTTTTTCCCCCAGATTTCAGTAAAAATTTCTTTTCTCACCTCTTTATGCTTCCCAAAGGTGTGTGCGTGCACGCACACAAGCGAACCTTAATGGTAGGAGGGAATTGATGATCCTATCTTACTGTCATACATAAATGACCTTAAAAAGCACGCAAAATCATGGACTGTGTTATGGACTGAATGATGTCACCCCAAAATTCACATGTTGAAGCCCTAAGCCCCAGCGTGACTGTATTTGCAGCTGACGCCCTTGGGGAGGTGATGGGGGCGGGCCCTGATCCAGTAGGACTGGTGTCCTTATACGAAGGGGAGGAGACCCCGGAGGGCTCTCTCCGCTGTCAGCTGTCCACTGTCCGTGGAGGACAGGCCACGTGAGCACAGTGAGGAGGCAGCCGTCTGCAAGCCCGGAAGGGAGCTCTCACCAGATGCTGAATTTGCTAGTACATTGATTTTGGACTTCGAGCCTCCAGAACCGTGAGAACATACAGGTCTGCTGTCGAAGCCCCCGGGCTGTCTATGGCGGCCTGAGCTACGGGCACAGACCCATTGGTGTCCTGAAGAACAGCTCAGTGGTAAGTGTGGTCCAACCACCGTCACTGCTCCTGGCAGACTCCTAAATTACGCTGTTTAACAGGTGGGTTAGAGAACAGCGTCTAAGTAGTTTTGCATCTCAGGTACCCCTCAGGATAGAGATTTGCTGAATAGGTGAATGAATTATTCTGGGCCCACTGGAATACTGTCCTGCTCAAAGTAAGATATTCTATCAATATCTATTAGAGTTGGCATGGAAAATCAGGAAATTGTGAGCAATGTGCACCACTTGGAGATGGTTTTCAATACGTCAGTCAGGTTGTCCGCGGTCCTCCCACGACACCGCTCCCCCTCTGGTTAACATTGTGGGGTAGAGCTGTGGAATGCGGTTCAGGGGACGGCAGGGACTCTGGAATAGGAAGGTCAGAGGCAAGGCCTCCAGAAGTGGGATGTCCAGTGTTGCCAGCACCATGGCTCCCATGGGCACTCTGAGCCAAGAGCCAACACCAACCTGTGATAACTTTCTCGATTTGGGTCACCATGTTTCACTCTCCATGCCATGACTAACATGCGTCTGGGAGAGGGGTTTGGCCCCTAGAAAAGGAGATTTTGATATTGACATTTGGGGTCTTTTATGACAAACATAATTGGCAAGATCCCTGAGGACTTCCCAGTACTTCTGCCTTTAGAGAAGTGGTTCCCAAACCCAGGTACACCCCAGCTCCTGCAGGGCCCCCCTCAGATCTCCTGAATTAAGGTCTCTAGGTTTGGGGTCTGGATCATCTGTATCTTGAAATGTTTTCCTAGTATGTCAGATGTAGTGGTTCTCACAGGGTGGCCCTAAGATTTTGAGGGTCCCCAGGCCCTTTTAGGGTCTTGGTTTTTATTTCTAATGCGGAAGTGTTGGAGGATAGAATCCACATAAACAAAAGTTATTTGGCCTCCCTCAAGAACTTAGTCTTTGAGACCTGAAAGTTCAGGAATTCATATATAATTTTCTAGAGTTTTTAGCCAGTACTTAATGATCTAAAACTACTTCCTAAAGATTCTCTACCATTTTTTTGCAGGTTCCCATATGACCCACAGCCACAAGACGGGATGGGCCAATGTGGGAGAGGATGCAACTGGATATTCTCCCACTGGCTTTTATCAAGAACAAGTATTGATATGAAGAACATCTATGCATCTTCCAGAAATTGCATTTAAGGATACTGTCCATTGTGTTGTATACAAATATATACATAACACAAAAATCATTTTCTCCAAGAAAAAGTTTATCTCCGTAATGGGTCAGTGTTCTCGTTATTGGATATTGAAATTATATAACTTACTATTTTTAATTTTGTCTTTGCTACCAGCTCAGAGGTAAATTTTGTATTCAGAACATAAATAATAAATAATTTTGAAATAAGAAGGTAAAGCACAATAGACACTTTTATTTTTAAACTCCTCAGGAAAATAAAAGTGTAGACCCCCCACCACAGGTATGCATTAGACAGAAAAACCTCAGAATATTGTAACCAAGTTGGGTATTGATTTTGCACATATAAGTGCCAGAGAATAATGTCTTATAATGAGTAGTGAGGTTTTTTTGAGGTAGTAATAATTCCAGCTGACCTTGAGCTGGTGACATGCAGAGGTTGTCCCCAATGCTTTACACACATCTCATCATAATCCTAACCCCCATTTTAGGGAAGAGGACACAAAGACATTTAATGAGACACGTCTTCTACGTCTTCTTATCCCCATTTTAGGGAAGAGGGCACGAAGACATTTAATGAGACGCGGCTGACACAGGACAGCATCAGTATGGAAATTCTGTCTTTGACCTTTAACCACGGGAAGGGATGTTCTCCTGGACCATACCGGAGACGTGCTCAGTCTCTAACCTGGGCCTGAGGCTCCCATCCCAGGCCATGGGAGCAGCCGCCTCCAACTGGACAAGGTGATGCTGGCCTGAACTGGGCCACTCCAAGCACCCCGCAGGTGACAACGGCGTCTGTGTGTGTTTCGGGCAACACACAGGTGTTCTTACTGCTCATTCTGCGTAGACATAGTTCAGGACTTGCTTTGGCTGAAATTTCCACGCTAAAAAACACAGGCGCGAAAGTGCAGGTTCAGAGTAAGTTTAATATGAGCAGATCCGTAGATCATCCACCCGGCAGAACTGGGCACTTCCCAGGGAAACCACAAACCTAAAGGTTCTGACTTTTACCATCTCCCTTTTCCAGAAATAAAGGAGATCAACATAAAAATCTGTCTTGAAGTGCTAGGGTATTCCCTAAACATATGGAATTAGGTCATATACGCCCAGTCTCTAGAATGTCACATGCACTTCGCTTGCACCGTGGTGTTCAATGATCTCGCACCCCCACCCCGAAGGCTCAGCCTCTGCGGTGGGGGCCCCTGCCCCCTGCCCCCTGCCCCCTGCTGCAGGACAGCGCGGCCACGGGAAAATCTGATGTAATACCAGCACTTCCACAGAGAGAGCATGTTCCCAACCGTCTTACTTCCATGGACACCTTGCATTATTTTTTTCTCTGTGAACCCAAATATTCTAAAGACAAACCACACTTACTAGGGGATACCACCCTTTCTAGAAATCAAGTAGTCCTCACCACTATTCAAACTGACCCTTCAGCCTTCTAACTGGTGTGACCTACCAGTTTGAAGTTACTTTCAGCAAGCAAGAAGTGGCCCAGGGAGCATGCATGGGGCAAGCTTCCTGACACGGATGCAGAGTTTTGTTGTCATGTGGTACATCTGAGGAGCGAGTTTGGAAAAGAGCTTGCATGGGGTTTGCGATCCGAAGCAAGGTTAAGTATCACTGCCAAACAGCTTTTTTTTTTTTTTAGGTTATTTATTTATTTATTTGAGAGAGAGAGAGCACAAGGCAGAGGGAGAAGCAGACTCCCTGCTGAGCAAGGAGGCCGACATGGGGCTCGATCCCAGGACCCCGAGATCACGACCTGAGTCGAAGGCAGACACTTCACCAACTGAGTCACCCAGATGCCCCCAACAGCTTTATTACAATAATATTGGACCATCATTAGAATTCTTAAAATCCTGGTCATTGCTGGTAGTAATCAGAGCCAATGAACCCCCACCGATCCCCAGATCCCAGGCCCTCAGGTGGGGCAACAACACAGAAGGACCGCCTCACTCCAACTCCAAACACCTCAGGAATCTCTTCCCAACCAGTTTTTAAAAATCTTCCTCAAAAAGAAAACATGAGGCATTGAATTTCTCTTTTATTTGAACATTAAGAAAGTGCAGCACAGGGACTCAGAAAACGTTCTCAAAATGTCAGTAACAACAAGAAGAGACATCATGTCGTGTATAGAACCTTTTGTTTTTATTGAGGGTCATCAAACAGAGAACCATAAACATTCCACTCATCTGCCTTTACAGCAAAGAACAAGGCACAAAAAACTGTTCGACAAAAGCCACGGGGAAGAAAGAGCTCAGTGTCCCACTGCAGCCAGTTGAGAGATGGGGACGGGGACCCAGAGAAGGAGGGGGGAGAAGAGAGAGACAAAGAAGTGAAAGGGACACAAAGAGCCACGCGCTGTGACAGCGTCAGGACCCGGGACACACACACACAGGCAGACACGGAAAGATGCTTGCGGAAGTCGATTACTTTAGGGGTCTTTAAAGCGTTACTGTAAGGAGCAGAAAGCTCGGTCTCTCCGTGACTGGTCTCTGCACTGAGCGCACACAGAGCAAGTTAGCGCGCTGCACCCTGAGCTCACTCCGAGCCCACCGGGCACCGTCCAGGGCCAGCACTCCGCCTCTGCCACAGCATCCATGGGACACGTCTCCACGCCACCCCGGCCAGATTGCCACCTGCGCACCCTGGCATTAGTACATTCATTTGAAATGAAGGACAACCGAGCTCTTTGCATTCAGACAACACAGGCTGTTCAGTGGAAGGGGTTTTGTTTTGGCAACTCATCTGCTGGCTGACCTAGCTCCCGCTGAATTAAATGCTTCACGTTTGACTAGATCTGTGCCGAGAGAGAGAGAGAGCAAGAGAGAGAGAGAGAGGGAGAAACTAGCGCAAAGATCACAAGAAAAATATAAAATTGGTTTTTAAAAATGTAAGGCTTCGATGTAAGATGTAATTAAGACTTACCACATTAAAGTCCAACATGATAAACATTCAGCTACTTATTGACTCTTACAAAATAAGTCAGAGTTGAGGTAATAGATTACTCTGCTATGCCCAGCCTTATCTGATGATGACATTTGTTTTCCTTCTCAACCTTAGAGTTAAATATAATCAGATGTGTGGAGGAAATATCAAGAAATCAGCCTGGAGTTAGCGGGGAAGGCTATGGCTGGCTCCTAAAAGGCTGAGGAGTTTTACCCTTTATTCAAATAATAAGTAGAATTTTTTTTAAATCACTATACACAACTGTACATCCATGTTACTGATTTTTACACAGTGATTAAAAATACTGGAAACATACACATCTAGCCCACACCCCAGCCAGCGACTCCCACTTTCTTCCTTCAGTAGACTGCTCCTCTGGCCCGGAACATTCTGTTCTACATCTGCATCCAGCTCTTCGCATTTCCCCCCTCCCTGTGGTCAGCCTTTCCTTCTGTAGCACAGAAGTTACTCTGTGAGCAGCACTTCAAATAAAAACAGTGAGTTTTAGGAGAAGCCGACCCTCACTCCTGCTCACATCTCCACCCAGCCTTCCAAAACCATCCCCGCAGCCGTGTGCTGTGTGAGGGAGATAGGTGTGTGTGCGTGTGTGTGAGCACTGAGTGTGAGGCTGTGTGTATAGGAGTGTGGAGCAGCGAGCGTGTGAGCGAGAGTGTAAGTGTTCGCGAGTGAGCGCTGTGGGAATGGGTGGGGGAGCGTGCGTGTGAACGCGCGGGCAAGGCTTGCGCGGCGGGCAGGCCCGGGGCCTGGAGGCGCCTCCGCGTGGACAGAGCCCCTCCCAGTCCAGCCTCACTCGCCCGGTGGAGTCACTGCCGGAGTCACTGCCGCGGTTCCCACCCTTCCCCTCCGAGTTGGAAAGTTCGGTTAACTTGAGTTTCCAAGCTTTCCCATCCCCCGACATGTTTTCTATTTTGGAGAAACAAAGTCATAAATGCAGCACCACGCCCAGTTCTGCGACAGCCAGCCCCCCTGCTGGATGCGCTCCTGCCCGCCGACACCTCTCCTCGGACCCGGGCACCCGAGAAAGTCACAGATCACTGGCCCAGCCGGAGGGTCTCTGGGACATACAAGAATCTTAGGGGTGGGGACCAGAGGCATTTTCACCGAGGCTTACTCCCCGGCCAGCTGAGCCCCAAGCGCATGTGGGAAGCGAGGAGGCGGCCAGGATGCTGCAGGAGGCAAGCTCGTGGGGTAGAGTCCACGGTGTGGGAGGGGAGAGGGGGCTGTCCGGGCTGAGGGTGGGGAGAGCCTGGGCAGGAGGCGGGCAGCGGGGGGGGGGGGTCTGGCGAGCCTGTTTCTCGCCGGCCCTTCAGGCTCCCAGGAGCCCCGGAGGTGTGCGGTGCAAGGCCGACGGGGCCGCCAGGTGGAGCGGCGAGTCCACTAGCCAGAGGGGGGCCGCGGCGGCCCTGGTCCCGCTCGCGGGCGCCAGCAGGCGGCGGCGGGGCCCGCGGGCGTGGGCGCGGGGGCCGGCGGGAGGCCGGCTCACAGCGTGCTCAGGTGCGGCAGCGTGTCCAGGGGCCCCGCGTGGTCGCGCGCGGCGGCCGCCTTCTCCACGCCGCGCAGCCACTCGGTGCACTTGCGGACCAGGCCCTCGTCCACCGCCGGCGCCTCCTCCTCGTATTCCACGTCGTCGTACCTGTGCCTCTCGTTGAGCAGCGACACGGGCAGCGCGGGGCGCGGGGCGGGGGCCGGCAGGGGGCCCGCGGGCGGCGCGCAGGGGCAGGGCCCGGGCCCGAGCAGGCGCCTGGCGGCGGCCGCGGGCGAGGGCGGCGGCCGGCAGGGCCGCGGCAGCAGCTGCTTCTCCAGGCGGCGCCTCTGGAGGAGCAGGACGGCCTCGGGGGTCAGGCTCAGCGAGAAGCGCACGGCGGCGTCGGGCCCTGCGGCCCCCGCGGGGCCGGGGCCGGGGCCGGGGCCGGGGCCGGGGCCGGGGCGGGCGGGCCGGGCCGGGGCGCGCGGAGGGGCCGGGCCGGGGGCGCGCCGAGCCGGCGGCCTCTTCAGGGTGGCCGAGGGCCAGGAGCCGGACAGCCGCCCCTCGGGCCGCTCTGGGGGCCTCCTCTTCTCCGCGGCGGCGGCGGCGGCGGCGGCGCGCTGAGGGCGCAGGCAGGGCGCGGGCGGGCGCCGCGGCCCTCCGGGGGGCGCCGGGCCTCCGGGGCGGGGCTCGCGCGGCGGGGACCCCCGGGCTCGGCGCGGCCGCCCGCGGCGGCGTGCGCGGGAAGGGCATGGGGCCGCCGAGCCGCGGCTCATCCGCGGCTGGAAGGAGACGGGCGGCTCTCAGCGGTGCGCGGGGGCCCGGGGCACCCCCACGGGCGGCCGCGCCCGGCGCCGCGTGCTCGCGCCACACCCACCTGCGTCCGGCCGCCGCATCCCCGGCTCGCCCGCGTCCCGGCGGCCCCACCCGGGGTCCGGGAGCCGAAGCAGCCTTCCCTCCTCGCTTCCGGGCCGAGGCTCGCCCCCGGCCCCCCACCGCACCCCCCCACCGAGCTCGGGGACCGCTCGGCCCGATCGGCGGGCGGCGACAGGCGTCAGCCGCCCGAGCCCGGCGAGCGCGGGCACAGCCTGGCCCAGGCCGAGCGGGGCGCGGCGGCAGAAGGAGGAGCCGAGCGCCCGGCGGGTGTCACGACCGACTGTTGCGTGCGCCCAGACACGGAGCCGGGCAGCGCGGGCGGGGGTGGCCGGGGACACTGCCCGCCGCCTCCCCCCGGGGCCGGTCTCCTCTCCGGGAGGCGGGGAGAGGTCCTGGGAGGGCCGGGTGCATCCTCAGCCCTAGGCGGAGTCCTCGCCCGTTGGAGGGAGAGTCCTCGCCCACCGCCCGGGGCCTTAAGATGGTGGGAGGCCCCGCCGCGGGGAGACTGGCCAGGCTAGCCCGCGCCCTGCGCTCCGGGGTGTCGGCGGGGAGCGCGGGGCGGGGGGGGGGGAGAAGGCACTTCAGGGCATCATTGCAGTTCCCTTTTTGCCATGTTAACGCCACTGCTGAAAGACAGTCATCTGAAATTAAAGACCTAGTTTTATGAATAGGCAAACAGTCCGGTTTCAATTATATCATAGTAACATAGGAAATACGACCCACTGAGTTCTTTTAATGAGTGATCACTGTGGTGAGCAAAGCAGTGGATTTATTGCTACGACAGGGGTTCAAAATGAATGAGACGCCTTCACCGTCAACTTCTATTCCGGTTGTAGAGACACGAACACACTCCTACAATGTTCAGTGAACAAGTCAACAGTTACTCAGGAGTGCGTCAGAATTAGTGTCACCTAAACAGCCCCTGCACTCTTGAGGAGGATTATCAATTCATTAGCTCTCCAAGAGATTTTTTTCCATAGGACATGCTTTTCAGGCCTAACCCGGGAACGTGACCAAGTGCCCCAGCGGCAGCACCTCCGGGGTGTGAGGGCCCAGACCCCGTGCCCCTCCTGCTCCCATGTTTTCAGTCGAGGTGGCCACCAGGTCAGGGCACCAGGCAAGAATGGAACTCCACAGGAGGCCAGAAGCACTTCTCACCAGGGCTGGGGGCACAGAGGAAGGTTTAGGCCCCATAATCTCCAGGGACACCCGAAACCCCCCCCTGAAATCTACATACATATTCTCCATAAAATGTGCAAACACAGCTTCAGGACAAGTGGCCCAGCGGTCATTCTCTCACACAGACATCCTCCCCTTCCTGCCAGGGCCTCAAGGGTGGCCAATCGCTGCCCACCACTGGGGTGCGAGTGTGTTTGAGACAATTTAGGTCATAAAATCTCTGCGGTGGGTACTGAAAGCACCTGTGTATTTTATTCCAAGTTCCTGTGTTTCTAGGTGGGTGTGGGGCCGGGTACATTAGCGGTGGCAGCAGGTGGACAGTTTCCCGCCAGGAGAGCGCAGGACTGGAGAGCAGATGGAGACAGAAGAGGACGGAGGCAGAGGAGGACCAGGAGGGGAAGGTGGGCACAGCCCCAGAGGTAAACTACGGAGGGAAACCAACAACAGGGGGTTGCCTATAGACGTGAGTATGGACCCCAGCTGTTCCAAAGCTGCGGTGGTGTCAGCGATGGGGTTCTGTCTCCCTCCCAGCTCCCAGGGTGCTGCAGAAGTAAAGGCAGTCAGAGGCGGGGCTGGGTGGGCGATCCCATAAGCATAAGGCCTAGCACACACTGATTGGGGCACGACAGGCACCCTCCTGGCTCCTACCTGTTTCCACTCAGCTAGGAAATGGGAGCCGAGCGGGGGAAGCAGCCCCAGCATCACACAGCTCCAGCGGGATGGTGAGGACACTTAATCCCAGCAACAGATTTCCAGCCAACACCTGAGCCACCCCACTGAGGACAGTCCTAGGCGTGGAGGGGACGGGCCACGCCCACCACCATACCAGCGGAGAAAGTGAGACTTACCAAACCGATGCACACATCTGACCAGACGGTCTCTGGGATTCTCCAGGTCCCCCACACATCCCGTCCCAGCCCAGAAGCTTGGAAACTGGGGAAGTTGGAAGTGTGCCTGACCTCCAAGGAGAAAAGTCAATGCCGAGCACCTGCCATCCCGTCACCTGCCCAGGTCGGAAGGGCCAGTAAGCGCCATGGCTAGGGGTGAGGACTTCCCATACCTCTCGATGGAGGAGCCAGCGCTCCTGAGGGGACTTGGCTCTTCCGATTCTGCTCGAGCATCCACATGAGCACATCGATGCTCCCTGCCACTGCTTCAACTGGAGCCCTTCAGCCCTTGGAAACTGGAGGCTAGACCTAGTGGCAGAGCCTGGCTGAGAACATGGGCAAGCAGCACCTGTTGCCCGCGCTGTCACGGCCCGCCGGCTGTCACACGGTCCCTTACACATTCTATCCGGTTGACTAGAGAGCTGGTGACAGTTACCAGTAAGGAAAACCACACTAGGACAGGCAGCCAAATAGAAGCCTGGGATAGGGGCTGCGATGGAAAAGCAACCACAGTCAAGAAATCGGGTCAAATCTAACCTGTGATTTGCATGGGATTTTGCGCAATGTGCCCAGAACCGAACAACGGGGCTACAACTATATATTAAATAGTGAAACTTGAGTATCGGAATCCTGGGATCGGCTTATCAGTTCCCCAATCGTATTTCTGGGATCACCAGACTGCAAGAGTCCACGGCTAAAACACATTAGTACGTTTCATCTTGAGGTTACAAAAGTTACTCTTTCAAGTAAGCTGGTTGATTGGAAAGGTCAGTTACCCCAAATCAAATATATGTATTTTTTACCTATGGCATTTAATTTTCCAACTACATTTATTTGATTGTCCTCGTTGACACAATGTTACATTAGTTTCAGGGTACAACATCGAGATTCACCAGTCTGGGTGTCCTACTCTGCTCCCAAGCGTAGCTACCATCTGTCACCATAAAATGCTGTAACATTTATTTGATTTTCAAATTTCAAATAAACATAGTCATTGTCCACCACGTGGGAATTAGTAATTTTCTTTCTCCTACTGTTGTATCAGAGTTAAGAAACGTTTCAATTTTCTCTTTAACTTACCAACGTCTTGGTTTTACTAAGGCATGTAGTCCTTCATGCATGTTCAGAAAAATTTCAAAAGGAAAACAGATCAATGCTCTGTTTTTCTAAATTACACCTCCTTCCCACAGGCAAGACTTCATTTCTATATTCAGATTCAAACGATTTTCCTTGATGGAGCAATAAAGAGTCAAACACCTAGAACTAAAACGAAATTTGAATTTTGAAACACAGAGAGCTACTTCTGGTTTTTAAAATCCTAGCGTTTTCCTGGGAAATAGAAAAATTGGTTGATAACTAAAAATAACTAAATTTCTTCTTCTTACCATTCTGTTCCTGGGAGAGGCTCTGGGGGTAGAAAACACTGAGGAAAGTGTTCAGATGCTACTTACTTAGGAGTCTTGTTCCCCAACGAGATTCGCCCAGGAGCATCCTTTGCCCAGGAGCATCCGGGCAAGTGGAGGTGGGGCCCCAGGGCACTCTCCCCTGCTGCTGCCCTGGGACTCGAGGCTCCTGACACTCAGGACTCAAAGGGCTTGTTTTTATGGCCTCTATCTATTGATGTTAACCTTATTAGAAATTTAAAGGAAGACTTTAAAAAAAAATGTTTATTACTACACTTAAAAATGACGAGCCCGTTACATTAACAATACACCCATTACGTCGGGGCGCATGGCTGGCTCAGCCAGAAGAGCACACAACACTTGATCTCGGGATCGTGAGTGCGAGCCCTACGTTGGGTGTAGAGGTTACTAAAAAAATAAACTTAAAAAAATAGACCCAGGGATGCCTGGGTGGCTCAGTCTGTGAAGAGTCTGCCTTCGGCTCAGGTCATGATCCCGGGGTCCTGGGATCGAGCCCCGCATCGGGATCCCTGCTTCTCCCTCTCCCACTCCCCCTGCTTGTGTTCCCTCTCTCGCTGTGTCTCTCTCTGCCAAATAAATAAAATCTTAAAAAAAAAAATGGTATGCCTCCAATCTATAGCACACCTTTTTCTTGCAGAGCTCAGACTTTTGGGTGTGCTACGCGGACTGTGCACGCCCGTGGGGGGCGCCACGTCTCCTAGCGTGCTTGCGAAGGGAGGGGGGCAGGCATGGGCCTGAAGGTGCCGAGCCAGGCCCCTGAGCTGCCGCGCGGCTCCGAGCACCGCAGGACCACAGCCAGCGGCGCGGCCAGCAGCCCCACGCGGCCCGGGTGCCCGGGGGCGGCGGCGCTGAGTTCAGCGGCTGGGGACGCCTCCGGGGGCCTCGCCGCCCCGACACCTGCCGCCCCGTCCGCCGCAGGGGACTCGCTCCCTCACGCTACAGAAGCAGCGCGTCCGGAGCTTCCCCGGGAAGGCAAGGGCAGCGCCCCAAGTAAGCCGCCCGGCCGGGGCGCCCGGACAGCGAGGCGGGCCGCGTGGACGGCGCGGCTTGCTCAGGCCCCCGCGGGGCTCGGCGGCCGCACCCACAGCTCCGGCCAGCTGGGTGCGGCCGCGGCGGTTGCAGTGACCTCCCGGCGTTTGCACGGCCGGCGGACACGTCAAGAGGTGATTTGACATTCAGAGACGAGCAGAAGGAACGGTCTCCCTTTTTGCCTTGCCCTCTGGGGACAGCCCTTTTCCGAGACCCCCAAAGATGACAGCGGGGCCTCTGGGGGCACTCAAGTAGACGTCATCACGGCCGAGGTCTCGCAGAGGTGTGTGTAAACGCGGCCTTTCACACGGACGCCCGTGGCCTCTTCTCAGTCCGCGGCCTGTGCCCCGGGCCAGGCACTGCTCCCCACTCCCCGGGGGAAGTCCCCTCGGGCAAAGCAGACCCTCAGCTTTACTCTTTCTTCGGCTGGGAGGTGGAAGCTTGCAGAGCTCAGGACCTAGCCCACATGTGCACAGCGACACGGCTGTGGAGACCCCCTCCCCAGCTCTATTCGGTCGTGGAGCTGCTGACAATCCCAGCCAGGGTGACCCACACCAGCCTGTTCCCCTCCTCCAACACCTGCCCTGGCCTTCAACTGGAAAGCCTTCCACTGTTTTACACCAATAGATTTCCATGCTTTGAGGATCCCTACGAGGAGCCGGCAAAAGCAATGGGAACAGAGAAACGCTACGTTTTGCATACAACGTGGGGAGACCGGGAGTCGTGGTCCCCAGGGCTCATCTGTGGGCCCGCCCAGACACATGCCACTGGGTGTGATGTGCTGGTGCCACGGACCAGCCACGGACCTGCCAGGGGCGGGCGGTGACTTGCACTGTGACAAGAGGGGAAGCGGCGTGGGGCGGACCGACAGGGCCCCTCCCACACACCCCCTCCTGAGGACCTAAGTGTGCAGGGACAGTCCGACCCGAACTCTCTCACGGGATTCGTGAGACTCCCCCAAACCGGGGGGGGGGGGGGGAATGCCAGGACCAGGCTGGTCCCCTCGAGAAGGAACTTGCTCCTCGTCAACGGGCATCGCGGGGTCGGCGAGCGGGAGACATAACAAGGTGCACAAACACCATGCCTGGCAGGGAACACGAGCTCGTCAGTCATGAGTCCCCCCGTGCCCCCGCCGGCTCCCGAGCACACGGGCCTCTGCCGCCACCTGGGCTGGGACGGAGGGCCAGCGGAGGGCTGTGGGCTTTCTTCTCTGTCCCAGGGCCACCCCCTACCCCCCCCCAGACCTCTTTACCAGAGCTCTGCACTCGGCTCTGGGACGCCCTGCGCTGGTGGGAAGGCAACGGGCTTCCAGGGAGCTCTGCGTACTCACGGTTCCACTCTGGCGCTCCAACAGCGGACTCCGCCTGCGGGACTAGGGCACCTTCCAGCCTGGCTACGTCCGCTCCCCGCTAAGTATCGTGTCGGGTCCCTGGCCTGGCTCTTCGTGCTCAGGACTCGCCCGGTGGCGCTGCCCCAGCGGGTCACTGGACGGACCCCTCACTTTGGTCTGGCTGAACCCTACACCTACCAGCGATGCAGGATGAAAGGTCACACCACTCTGGTTCCAAAAACAAAGTCCCCACTGGTAGCAGTGAAATGGAAGAGACATTTCACCCTACCTGATCTTGAGGCTTCTGAGGCGTGCTGACAAACACGGAACAGAAAGCAAGGGCTGTCGGGGGCCTGGCCTCTGGATGAAGACAAGCCTGTCCACGCGGGCCTCGGCCACGCTGCCCCGCCACTCTGGGCATGCGCCTCGGCCTGCCTGACCCTAAACGACCCGGGCGGCCCAGGCCCAGGCTATGGAGGCACGCCTGCAGCATGCTGTCCCCTACACCCTGAATGACACCCTTATCACTACTTTCACCGTGACACGGTGATCTTCTGCAAATGTGTACTCAGGAGCAGGAGGACAGAGACTGTATCCTACTCATTCTTCTACAGAAAAACTGCACAGCGCCAGGACTGAATCAATGGGCCCCCCCCCACCTAACACATTATAAATTTGACCCAGAAAATATTATTTTTCCAAGTGTGGGTTTATTTCAAAATTGTAAAGATTTATATATTATTTTTATTACATATAATAAGCAATTTTTAGCTTAAAGTAAAAACTTTCACATTTAAAATTTAAAAAAAGAAAAAAGAAAAACGTAGGCATTTTTAAAGAGCCAAAAAAGCTTGCAGCATAGGTTTATCCTTAAATATTCACATCTTAAATGCTATTTAGAAAGGATTAAAAAAGGAGCTAAAAATCATTTACAATTGGCAATGATTAAAAATGCCTTATTTGGGGAACAACACGTTAATGAGACATAATGAATTTCACGTTACAAGTATTTAACAGTTGAATCGAGCATGTAGTTTCCACCAGTACACAAAATGGTCTTAAAAACATGTCGCAGCAGCTGTTTGGGGAGTGAACAGAATATCAACTTTCCAAGGCTCTTTTCAAAGAGTTTCTGATTTTCAGCTTAAGAGAGAAGAACAGCATTTAACTACCGCATCCCTGGTGGGGGAAAAAAAGAGAAAAAAAACAATGTAATAATCTGCCTCATATATGATGATGTTGGAGAAAACATTCCTGCCAAGAGACAAATGCACGATCACCTCTCTACATCAGAATTCAGGTGGAGCCTCCGAAGCATTCCCTAACAAAAACTTTGCTGAATATCACCTGAAATCAAGAACTGAAACTTGAAAATAATGTTTTAATGTCTGAAATGACATTTATTTTAGGCAATCTTTTCTAGCACATATGCTAATCTTAATATAAAGAAATAAATGTAAACACCAAAAATAACCTAACAAAAGAATAATTTTTAAAGAGAAATAATGAACTGGATTTTAAAAAGGAAAATGTTTATAACGACATCCTCGGAATTCCAAAGAAATATTCACGTTCACTTCCTTCGCCTTTCACATTTTCTTTCCAAAACAATTTGTTTCAACTATTACTTAACATTTTCATTCATTTAAAGTTACTCTTTGTATATGGATGCACCAATGAACTGGAGATGTCTGAGCAGATCTGTGCATGGCCCTCAAATGCAGGGGTCGGGCCTGGCTTGGAATTGCTGTGGCTTTGAGCTCAGACTCACAGGGCTGGACATCATTTCTAGGTGACCTTTCCCCGAGCTGAGAAACGGCACCAGATCTCCCAGTAGAGGTCCTGAAGACTGGAGAACCACCTGCAGTCTCCGGTCCCACAGCCTGCCCACCTGGAGTTGACCCTGGTCTGCCTGTCCTCCTTGTAAGCACTCATCAAAAAGAATGGGCCATTTGAAATGGGACAAAAATAGAATTTCTACAATCTCCTTCCTTGTTCATGTTAGGCATACAATTTTGCTGTGTTTCATATGTAACCTATGTTTCCAGATTTTACAAAGAAACAAAGCTGTGCCTCAACAGAGTATTCTGCTGAACTGGTCAGGTTTAAGATTACAGTGAGTTTTGCTTTTCCCTCCATAACTAAATGAATACATTTCTCGGGAAAAATATAAGAAGACGGCAGTTACTCTTGACATGTAAGTATGTTTCTGCCGGCTTAAAACAAACACTTATGTATCACACGTCATTTTTTCACTAACTTGCTTTATCTTTAATGTAGAATTTGTTTTGCTGGTGTCTCTACGTCCCATGTCCTGAGTATGTGCAGTCATGGAAGGATCAGGAACTTCCTACCTGCAAGTGTCCAGGTGGCAAAAGCAGCACATTCCCAACCTAAATGCTACATACGTTCAAAACGGTTTCACTTTATATGGCAGACTTCTACTCATCTTATTTAAAAAATAATTTCTTTGGGGGAAGAATGTCAAAGTCCACAAAAAAACCCCCAGCCTTTTATATCGCATTTTAACGTGCATATGCTAAAATTCACATATTTGTGTAAAGACCGTGAGAGGACCAGAAACAGCAGCCTCACCTTGCATACGGGATGTATGACAGGCTGTACCTGCAAGAAAAGTTCACAGATGTTGAGACCATCTAAATACCACACTTCCTCACGCCAAGTGGCCTTACCCGAACACCCCAGAAAATATGGTGACATATTGTACGGCAATCCTCAAAATATGGCCCCAGACCAGTAATGAACAGCATCATCCAGGAATTGATTAAAAATACCAATTTCTGTGCCCCACCCCCCACCTCCTGAACAAACTCTCTACATGACCCTGACGCCTGCTGAAGTCTGAGCTGGGGATACTAGAAATGACCCTGTTTTTTCAATAAAAACTACAAAATAACTGAGAATAAACTGCATTCTCCTTTAGGGAGTAAGCCCATCATCAAGTACAGATGACACAACAGGGAAAGCAACACATTATAGAAAAAGGCCAAGGGGGCGCCTGGGTGGCTCAGTTGGTTGGGCGACTGCCTTCGGCTCAGGTCATGATCCTGGAGTCCCGGGATCGAGTCCCGCATCGGGCTCCCCCTGCTCAGCGGGGAGTCTGCTTCTCCCTCTGACCCTCCTCCCTCTCATGCTCTCTGTCTCTCATTCTGTCTCGAATAAATAAATAAAATCTTTAAAAAAAAAAAAAAAGAAAAAGGCCAAGGAATTTGACTGAAACCTTGCCACAGTTCTCTGAAACAGAGTGGAACAGCAGGTGGAGAAGCGCACGCAGCATCCGTGGGTGCTCCAGCCGTCAGCGGGCAGAGACCCGGGGCCAAAGCAAAGAGTGCTCTCAGAGGGGCACCATCAGGGAGACGGGAAACGGCCACTCGGGGGGCACTGACCAACTGAGCTCTAAAGACAAAGGGAAACACTCCAGAAACTCTGGTGTTGGGAAAAACACGGAAGCGTGTGGGGTGGAGCTCATCCAATTCAATCACATACGCACTGGGCCTTTTATGCAGTCGAACTGCATGCAGTCCAAACGTGACAAGACTTCCCAGAGGGGAACGTGTGATCAGGAAGAAGGGGCAGAACAGAACATTCGGAAGGAGGGACAGGGACGTGCGGGCAGTGGGAGGGCCAGGGGAGCAGTATCTACGACTACGTGCGGCTGACTTCTCGGGTCCACTTAAACGTGGATTTTTTTTTTTTCAATAAATATTCCGGGAAATTTTTTTGTTGGAGATTTGCAACAATTTGAAAAAACTTGCAGATGAACCACATAGCCTAGGAATACCAAAAAGAATTAAGAAACAGGTATTACTGTAAGAATACAGCATCTAAGACATACAGAAAACATGTACTGATCAGCTTCCAGTCATAGTAGACTCTTAGTGGGGGAGTTCTGGGCACTCAGATGTTACACAGGTGTTGAACCAGGTGGGGCTTGGTGCCCCGCACCCCAGAGGTGCCGAATGATCAACCATATTCACTGACGATTCCGATGGGACAGCGCCAGGTGTGACAGGGCCACACTCAGCAGAACGACATCGACTCTGTAATTACCCCTACAGCGCAAAGGGAACGGTAAACCGACATTCTCTGGGGCTTCTCCTGTGACGTGGCCTCACTTCTATGGATTCACGTGGTATCACCTACATTCCTCATCATTTCTCCTTCACATACTCGGAAAGCAGTAAATGCATCATGGTGTAAGCATGCCGGCCCAGCAGCCCACGCCCCAGGCGGTGACCCCCATCTCTCTCTCCACGGCCCGCCCTCTGGCCACCGCCGAGCGACGCGTGCGTCTCACGGGACACTTGGCAGATCTCACTCATCTGACCTCTCCGGAGGTCCAGCCTCCGGGGCACAGCCTTCATCACATGACAGCCTAACGACATTCCCAGGCTCAAAGGCTCGGAACGAAAGGCTTCTCACTGCTCAGGGAGTGTTAACTTTCTAATCCCTGTGAGACTTACCAGGTCATGGACAAGAACTGCAATATGCAGAATAGTAAGGCCAGTCCCTTCTTGTGCCACTAACAACAGCAAAAACAGAGAAATGACAAGTTAAGGATTTTTAAAAATATTTTTCACAAGCAAGTTCAATTCCTGCCCTTCAAAATGCAGAGGACGGCTTCATTTAATTTTTTTAGTACGACAGGTTTTTTTAAAAAATATTTTTTATTTTGGGTGCCTGGGTGGCTCAGTTGTTAAGCGACTGCCTTCGGCTCAGGCCATGATCCTGGAGTCCCTGGATCGAGTCCCGCATCAGGCTCCCTGTTCAGCGGGGGGTCTGCTTCTCCCTGTGACCCTGCCCCTGCTCGTGCTCTCTCTCTCTCATTCTCTCTCTCTCTTAAGTAAATAATAAGAGAGAATGACAGAGAGAGAGAGCATGAGAGGGTCAGAGGGAGAAGCAGACTCCCCGCTGAGCAGGGAGCCCGACGACGTGGGACTCGATCCCGGCACCCCGGGATCATGACCTGAGTCGAAGGCAGACGCTTCACCGACTGAACCACCCAGGCACCCCTAGGACGACAGATTTAAGATTCAGAAGATGTGAAGTTTCGATCTGTACATTTCCTTTCTAAAATTCTGCACCTCAATTTAAATACTGCTAAATGTCTGGCCCTGGCTCAGAGGCCCCAGGGTAACTGCGGAGGCTCCTTAAAGCCACGTGTCCGGGTCAGAGGCACCTCCAGCACCATCAACACCCAAACCACGAAGCCGTCGGGTCTCCATCCTCTGTGGGGCCCACACACTTCACTCCTCTCTTGCTCCTGGTGTTAGTTTTTGAAGGAAAACTGCATTTTATTATAATCTCCTAGAATAATGTAAAATGAACAGTTTCTGTGTTAAAATGGCCTATTCTTAGGATTCCTTGCCCATTTTTATTTATATTTGTTCACTTACCATTTTTAGTTTACTGCCTACAAGTAAATAGGCGGTTAGGCCATCCAAGAGCCAGGAATCAATGCCTCACACAGACATGCAAGTATGGCTTAAGAATATTCTTTTGAGTTATCATTGAGAAATGAGGTGTAGGCACTGTCACATAATTCAAGTCAGTCTTTACATCACCAAAATTAAAAAGAAAATCAGAACACTTTTGATAGAATATTCCTAAAACATATTATACACTACTCTTTCTTTTTTTAAATGTGCAGTTTTCTTGATAGCTCGAGAACCACCTCAAATCCCTTTGGGAAGTAGACGGGGGGCAATAAATACATATAATGAAGACCCAGGAACACTGAGAAGTGAGCTGAAATGGAATAGTGTCATTTCCTGGAGGCTAATGAGGAGCTGTTCACCATACCTTAAGAGGTACAAGATTAAGTTCCTTTGACTTTTTTTTAAGTGATTTTACATCTTTTTAAAGATTAAGTAATCTTTACACCCCACATGGGGTTCCAACTCATGACCCCGAGATCAAGCTGCTTGTTCTTCCAAGTGAGCGAGCCAAGCATCCCCTTTTGCCTCTTTTGGTTCATTTGTTTTGGTTTGTTTTCTTGCCCCTTCTCCTTATCAGTTTCAACATCTTGTGACTCAAAACGTAGTCCGGCATCCACGGCACCCCCCTGCCTGAGGGGACAGCGTGGCCAGCCAGCAAGCACAGCAGACAGAAAACACGCCCCCAGCAAGAGCCTCTCGGAGCCCAGGAGTTGTTAGAGGAGCTGGTCCTTCTGCCCTGAGAGCGGGTCTGAACTCGCCTGTCTGTTCTGGAGGGCAGAGTCGTCACAAGGCTAACCACTAACCTCATGTTACTACTACACACAATCTGAGGGACACCCAAGCTTGGGGAGTTTTAGACGCCAGACCCTGAGCTCCTTCGGGGTGGTGTGACGACGCGGTGAGGGGCCACGTTAGCAGGAGGCAGGCACGGCTGATGTAACTTACCCAAAGAGCAGCACACAAGGTGAATATGAAACACAACTATAGGACAGGAAAGAAAAAATCGCAAATGTGAGTCCTTCCAAAAGCTTAAAAGGATTCATAAACCAACCTGCATTCACTGGCACGAGTAAAGCTCTAGGACCGACTCAAGGACACAGCCACGCGAGCTGTACTTGCTTACTCTGTGCCAAGTGGACTCCACCTTAAGTCTAGGACTGCACTGTTCCTTGGCAAACTACCAGCACCTAGTAAATAATCCGCTGAATAAATCAACAGAAAAGATGTCTGAGGAAGGATATCAGCTGTTTCTAATTTTTTTTTTTTAAGTCTTGTATAACTGACGTCCCGTGTTACATTAGTTTCGGGTGTACGGGACAGGGGTTCAACACTTGCATCCACGACTCAGTGCTCATCACGATACCTGCTCTTCATCCCGACGACTGCTGTGCTGAGAAGCGCTCACGTCAACGTTCAGTAACAGAAGACTGCAACAGATACTTAGTGCAGCCGGGAACACCCAGAAAATCCTACTTTACTTAACTTGACATAAGGAATCTACTGCAACGATTTTCACACAGAAGATGACATCATCACTTATGTCCCTGTGTCCCCCCAAGAAGGCAGGGGAGTGAAGGTGCAGGGCAGGCGACAGCCAACAGTGACAAGCAGGAGGCTGGCAGGCAGAACCCTGCGTGAGACCCCAGCTCTGACGCCCAGAGCATTCAATCAGTCGTCTGCTCTCGCCTTCATCTTTCTCCTCTTTAAAATGAGGACGGTGCCTACCGAGCGGATCAGAACCTGTCACGGCCTGGGTTTGGTGCCGGCACTGACAGGATGCTGCGTAAGTGGCAGTCACTGCTTCACTGTCATGATTAAGCACAACTTACGTCAGCAGCAAATCTGAGCATACAGAACACTCAACTGGAAACACCATGGCTCAGGTCATCACCAAAGTTACGTCCTCTAAATACTTAATGGTCTCTCTTGGGAAACAGTATGTGTTTCTAAATGTTTGAACCGCCTTCTTGACTTGATGCTTATTTGTGTAGAGTACATTACTAAGATGGGTTCCAGGATATCCTAAAGAAAGCCAATCTACATAAAATATTAGTAAAATATAAACTTCTCACAGTCTAACAGCATAAGCTTAGGTAACCCACACAAAGTTGAGTATTAATATACTGCTATACATGTTAATATAGGAAATTCAAAATAACTGGAAAAATTAGAAAAATGGTAATAAAATATGATGAAGTTGAATAAGAACCTAAATAAAAAGTTAGGCTAAAAAGGGCTTTTTCCTCTGGTAAAGAGGTGGGAGAAGATTCACACACATTACGGTTGAGGACATTTCCTGACTACACACCTGACCCATTTAGCTGTATTTAAAAGCTTCCTAGTATTACAAGGACATACTAGCTGATGCTGATCCTTAAGTTCAACAACGTGCTTAAAGAGAAATCTGCAAGAGACACAGACAAGCCAATTAGGAAGAAGGGGCTCAGTGGAGAGAGGGACACTTCAGTTCCTTGGCCCATGACACCCAAAACATCAGCCAAGAACCCAAAATGCATGATGTGCAAACTTTCTGACCATAAGCCCACTCCTGCCCCGATTCAAAGATAGATCCTACATTTAAGAGTGATGACCTGACAGCCATGCACAAAACCCATCAAGTGATGAATGGCATCCTGAAAGGCACGGCTCAGAAGCCATGCTGCTGGGAGTACAAACAGTCACACAGGGAAGGGGCAGAAGCCAGACGACAGGCTACGTGAATGAAGCCAAGCGTCCCTGAGAAAAGAGGTGAACTGCCTCAGAAGAGACCTGTGTTCCAGCCCCACCCTCCAAAGAGCACACACAGCCATCCGTTCTGAGGTGCTCTATGGGCCTGGGAAATGACATACATCCACCTCTAATCTCCACGTTAATACTCAGAGCTCCAGTGGTAGGTATATGCAACAGAAAGCAGGATTGAGCAAGTCAGTCAATTTAAGTAATGCGTACCATCTAAATTCTCTAACACACAGCCTTAAGAATAGGATTATTACATGCAGCAAGAGAAATATAATAGTATATATATAAAAGCGGGCAATTATCTGTAAGACAATAATGCAAAAAACACTTCTCTAAGTTTTAATTTTCATTATTTACTTACAAGCATAATAATTGTTGCAAGCAATCTTGTTGTTTCAAACATTTTCTTCAGTTGCTTCACGGGTCCCATTAGAAAGCACGTACTTAAAAAAAAGAAAAGAAAAGAAAAGTACGTCTATATGAAACAAACAGGAGAATGAAGAGATGGATCTGCTACCTTGTCTGGCTATATAAACATAAATGCTTTAAAGAAAAGATATCTTATGTTGGTTTACTAATAAAAGTCTCTCACTAAATCAGTTATATTTTTCCTTAACATTAAAAGCAAACTTCTTCTAAAACCTTAATACTTTATTTTTTTTAACTAAGCTCTAGGCCCAACATGGGCTTGAACTCATAACCCCAAGATCAAGAATGCATGCTCTACCGACTGGGCCAGCCAGGCGCCCCAAAAGGAACCGTGAATCTAGCGTTCTAGGACACACCAATGCCTTCTCACAAGGTATTCACAGTGCTGTTTCATAGCTCCAGGTGAACGTGACGGCCGGAGCAGTCCCGAATTCACAGGTCACGTGTTCCCAATCTGAGCCAATTCACACACTGCTACCCCTCACCCCTGCACGCTACAGACCAGAACAATGCTCGGTCAGCGCAAAGCCCCCAACAGTGACATGACCTAAAACCTGCTGAGCTGGGCTTTGTTCCAGCTTGAAGGGACAGCTCTGCAGGCACGAGCCCAGGAAAGCCCGTTGAGCTTGGCCTCGGCCACACAGGTTCACTTGACTACCTCTGATCCAGAAAATTCCTGAGCAGACAGAAGGTCACCTCTGAAAGCTCAATGTACACAAATGCAAAACGCATACATCTGACAACCAATCCAACAGACATCAACACACCCAAACGGGCACCAAGATCCTCAGAGAGGGATTCCTGCGCCCCAATCCAAGATGCTGCTGGGCTAGCTGTCCTCACCCTCTCTCTGCTCAGCACCACTCCCGGAGGATCTCCTGGCTGGCTGGGAGGCAGTCCGGTCCTTGGCCCCACTGAGACAGGGCTTCCCAAGCAGGGAGCCGAGCGCGGCACCATGAGCCGGGGCTCTGGAGGACGGTCTGCTAGAAAGCCTGCCGGTCACCCTACTGGGCACATCACGGGACACTGACTGACCCTCTCTGTGCTACAACCCCCGGCCATAAGGTGGGGGCGATAACAGTGCCCACCTCAGACACTGGGGTAACAGACAGAAACACTCAGCAAGTGCCCCACAGGCTGGCCATTCCTACTGTTCCCACACCGTGATGCCCTGGGCACACAGCAGGGGTCAATAAACACTTACTGGACGGACATAAATCTTGTGGCTCCAGAAGCCACACTATTCGGGAAGTGCCTCCAGGAAAGGAAGGCTGGTGATGGTGCCAGCAAACCAAACCTGCAGCAGCCCGACTTCCATACGCACCTGGCTAGCGCAGCGAGATTTCCAAAGGTATAAAACACTGCAAACAGCTTTATGCCACCAGGAAGCCACAGCAATCCGGTCCCCTGAGTTCGGATATATTTTGAAATCATTTTACCATTGTAATAGCGTAAAATATAAACGTGCTACAATAGGAATGATTATATAATAATGTACAGTTAAAATGTGCTAGTATAGTCTCTACATCGTTTTAAAAAGAGTTAATTTTCATTGTTATTTGCTAACTGGACTTTTCTGCCTATTTTGCATGTAAGTATGTATAACTTAACCGTAATACACCGTCCCTACACATGTGCATAAATCTCACTCTACTTAAATTAATATTCTTTATAAGCGGCAAGTTAAATAGTTAACGTATCTCGATTCCTGACTCTACAGCTTTCTATACCCATGGATTTTTCTTAAAAAGAATTATTTTCACAACCTATAAACCACCCCCCAAATACGAATTTCTGCATCTCTATATTGATCTCTAGCCCTTTATTTCAGGTGACTGACTATGTCCCCTGGAAACAGACCGCGGGCTGCTTGCTGGAACTAAATGGGGTTAGTCTGGCCTAAAATATAAGTCATGAGGCAACAGAAGGCTGTAACTCACAAGGATAGAGAAGAAAATGCCGCACACGAAGCAGATGACGAACCACTTCAGCCTGGTGCTGTAGCTGAGGGACGAGGCCTCCAGGACCTTAGGAAGGAAGGGGAGTCAGAACACGTCCCCCGGCTGCCTTGAGCAATCTGACTCCCCGCGGCAGGAGGGCAAAGCTTCCCCTGAATCTGGTCACGTGAGAAGGGTAAGACCCCCCCTCACCCCCACCCCAGGCTGGGAAGGGAAATGTAGGCACGACGTGGGGCTCGGGCAGTCTTGGGGCCCCGCTGTTCCCTCTGCCGGCGGGAGGACAGATATGCCCGCGGCACTGTGCCCCTGGTTTTAACAGCCCTTGCCTGCAGGACAGCAGATGCACCCCAACACGCACGGAATGACAGAATGTATGATACGTATTATAAAATACTCAGTGACTAAAAAAATAGGGGCGAGATGAAATGAGACCAGAAAATGTGGAGCACCACTGAGGCTGGGTCCCAGGCACACAGGGCTCACCATGCCTCCCTCAGTCCCTGCCTGAGGCAGCAGAGGCCCCCCAAGTGCAGAGCCTGAGACAGGGGTCCTGCTGCATGAACTGCTCTCAGCAGAAACCCCAAGGGAAGTGAGAGGAGCTGACAGGGAAGGGGGGGGATCATGTGGTTTCAGCCGGAGTTCAGCTTGGGCCTGGGCCGTCAACTGCACCTCAGTGTGGGTCCCGCCCTGAAGCAGGGGGCCAGCTGGCCATGGGCTGTCAGCAGAGTGGGGGCGCCTGCAGGACCCCAGGGTGTGCAGGAGGGCACAGCTGTGAGCCCCTGGGGGATGCGTACACCTGCCTCACAAGGGGGACCTGGGCAGCCATCCGTCGTGTCCATAACTTCCACTTATTATAAAAAGTCCATTTAAAACCAGCTCAGGAGAGCCCTAGGTATCTCCTCAACCATTACTGAAAACCCATTTTTTAAATGATCACTTATGCTAGAGGAACAGCATTCCTACATGCAAACTGTAACCAAGTCACGTGGGCAGAGTGGAAATCACCAGGCATTCCTTCTACAGTAATCCAGATGCAGCTGTAGACACATTCCGATTTCTAAGTACACTCAGAACTTATTTTCCAATGACGCAGAAAAAGTATCAGCAATGGCTATTTCAGGAGACTAGAAATATATATTAAGAATTTTATATCAAAACTTGATTTCTAACTTATATTACCATAGATGCTTAAAAATAAGATCATATGCTTATAATGTATTTTCAAGAATGAAGCAAAAACAGAAAATACCTTTCACTACATTCCTTACCTCAACTGATTAACCTGGGAATCCTTATGCAGCATGAAAAATAGATAAAAATAACTAAATAAAGATCATAAGTGCAACATACATCACTTAACACATTTTAAATGGTTTGTAAAATTTGCTTTAAATCACATTCTTGTTTCCAGCAATGTCACCAGTTTAGAGCAAAACTACTGTTCCACGTTAAACAAAGAATGGACCTGCCTATGAAAACGTCCAAATGTCATGCTTCCTGACTAGGAAGAGGCCCCTGCAGTGTTTCCACTCCGCAGAGCACCGCGAACCCGAAGACCACTCACCGCAAAGCAGCTTGCGGCTCGTGCATGCAGAGCAGTGTCCCACGGGAGCCGAACTGGGAACCGGGCAGGGAGAGTGCAGTGACGGGGGGACGGGTTTACAAATTTACATTCCCCCCCCCCCCAACCCCTTCCTAAGTTCAGCCGCTGGTTTTCAAGAGCCAGTTCATTCTTCTCTCAACCTGGTCATTTATATAATTGCAGGTATTTCCCCCTTATTCCCATCTTCCAAGTAATGATCTTTAAAAGGAAACAAGTTACTTCCATTTGTAAATATGGAATATTCAACCCACAACCAAATGACTTGCCTTGAGCTTTGCCTACTGTCCAGGACACGGAAACAAATCACAGATTCCCTGACGCCTAAGTGGGAAAACACGCAGGAACACCTGGCACTGCGTTCTCCACAAAGGAGCCAGAAGGAGCCCGGACCCTCCAGACCCACTGCCCCAGAAACATTCAGGTGCGACTTTCTGGTCCAAGCATGATCAGGAAGAAGCCCAGCAAAACCAGCAACTGTACTGATTTCTTAGAGGTTGTCTCAGCAAACAAATACGCATGGACCCTGGCACAATTACTTTACTTGTTTGTTATCAAAGGCAGAGGAAGTGGGGCGCCTGGCTGGCTCCATCCATTAAGCGTCCAGCTCTTGGTTTTGGCTCAGATCACGATTTCAGGGTCGTGGGATCGAGCCCCACGTCGGGCTCCTTGCTCGGTGGGGAGCCTGCTTCTCCCTCTGCCTGTCACTCCCCCTGCTTGTGCTCTCTCTCTCTCACACTCTATTTAAATAAATAAAATCTTAAAAAATAAATAAATAAAAATAATTAGAAAAACAAAGGAAGAGGAAGCAAAGATAAAGCCTCTCGTCAGCAGGAGAGACCCCCCCCTTTCTCTGGTGCATTCCTCCTGCTGCAGTAAAACAGCACCACCGGGAACCAGAACGCGACTGATTGAAAAAGAATAGTCGGGAAACATGTTCCCGGCAGCAGCAACATTAGAGATGAGAGAATGAACCCGCGGCCCAGCGGACACTTGCTTTCTCCTAGCGATGGAGAAGCCAGGAGGAGAGCCCCCGGATCACAAAGGGGCAGCTGTCTGGGCCTGAGCCTTGCTCCGGGGCTACGGCGCCCCAACAGTGGGAATGCGGGGGGCCTTCAGCGAGTGAACACCACAAATGCAGCACTCCTACAAGGCCTCCTTCAAAACGGCAGCGGCGCACACAGAGGTAAAGGTGAGCCGACAGCAAGCTCAAGGAACAGGTGCGCACGGGCGCTCTCGGGTGGGACGGTGGCCGCACCGTCTCAGGTGCCCTGCTCCTTAGCCTCCTCCGAGACTAGCACGCCCTCCTCCCTCTGTCACCTAGTGCTCTCCCTGTCATGCTCTCTCACTCGGGACCCCCGATCACAGGTCCTACCCTGGATCCTGGCAGAATCTTGGATGATTCCAACATCCACATGGGCAGCCCACCCTCTCTGCTCCTCGCCCCCCCATCTCTATGGCCTTTGCCCCCCACTCCACTCAGTGACCCAGGACACTCTTAACCACCCCAAATCACTCCACATCCAAACTTCAAGCCGCTGCTCTTAGGGCCCGATGTCGTCCTGGTGGCACGTGGATCCACCTGCTTGCGCCTGGACTGCCCTGCAGCCTCTGGGTCCCCCATCCAGCCCACAGGTCCTTCTTCTCTCTCTGCAGAAACGACATGCTCCATCAACTCAGTAAGACATTTGAAATTCCCCTTCTGCTGCATCCATCTGGCAAAATGCCACCATGACTCAAGCCCACTTCTTCTTCCTCTGGCCAGTCATGTGGCAGAAGCGGGGGGGGAGGTCATAACCAGGTCATCACCACCTTCCCATGGGCCCTGATGCCGCCTGCCTGGCAACCTGACGTGGTGGATTGATGGGCACGGTGAAGACAACCCCCCTTCTCACTCCACTGCCCATGGGCTATTTCAAACCTCCGGGTGTGGCCCTGACACTCCTGTGCAGACAGCTTCCCCTCCTTCACACAGAAAACACGAACCACCAATGTGCCCGCCCTCCACTGCTTGCTTCCACCAAACCACCGAGCCCCCCTCAAGAACACCTTCTCCTCCTTTCCGCGGATGACCTCAGAGGGGCGGAGGTCAATCCACCTGCTTTAGAGCCCAAGCCCTCGACCTTCTCAGGGAACGTGCAGTATCGGCTGCTCCCCGCTCTCGAGAGTGACCCCTGTGCTCTCCCTGAGGCCCTTCCTACCAACCTGTATGCATGATTAGGCCTCTTCCAGCTTAAAGAAAAAACTCACTTGATTTCACTCTCCAGCGTCTGCTCATTCATTCCCTCAGCAAATACTACTGAGAGCTCCCAGGCACTTGTCCTTGCTGAGGGCTGGCCCTCTGCACACCCTCCTCCCTGACGTCAGCTCCTCGTGTTTGGGGGTCCCTTGACAGGGAGCAGACTGCCGCCCGGTGCCCAGACCACGGGGGATATGGCACAGAGGGAAGCCAGCCCCCCCTCGCTTCCAGCCTCTTACTACTGTCACAGAAAGCAATCCGAGGCACAGCTCGCTCTGTCATTTTAGCCTACTGCTTTAAGATTTTATTTATTTATTTATTTGAGAGAGAGAGAGAGAGCGCAAGTGAGCACACAAGCAGGGGGAGTGGCAGGCAGAGGGAAAATCCCAAGCAGAACCCCGCTGAGCAGGGATCACGATGCAGGGCTCGAACCCAGGATCCCAGGATCACGACCTGACCCAAAGTCAGACGCTAAACAGACTGAGCCACCCAGGCGCCCCGGCCCATTACTTTAATCAGCTACTCTGACCCCGACTGCCCAGCAGCTGAGCTCGACGCTGGTGACAAAGCTGTGAACGTGGTAAGGTGGCTGTCTACACCAGCAAACGCCCACATACTAGAACATCAGGTGCCCTGTGTGCTGTAGGGAGGAATTAAGCAGTTCCAAGGGTGGAGGGCAGGGCGGGCGGTGCTCCTTCAGCTGCGTCGGGAGTCTTGCTACAGGCCTCTGGGGAGGTGCATCGGACAGAGAGCTGACCGACGTGGGGACAACATCAGAGGAGAGAGTCCTCTCCTCCCCGTGACACCAACCTCCCCCCAGATCCAGGTCCTCATCTCACACTCCAGAAACCGCCTTGTCACCCTTGTCGGATCCCCGCGAGAAAAAGCCCACACAGGTTAAGGCCCAGTAGGCAAGCCCCGGGAGCCAGGTTGGGGCATCCCAGCATCCATCAGGCCGCTGAGCAGAGCAAGTCGTCCTAGGGGGCCGCAGGGGGAGATGGGGAGGTTGTGCAGAGGGCTGAGGCGCCTCGAGCAGAGCTTAGACCTTATAGCGAGTGCTACAGGAAGCCGTGTGATCGGTCTGGACCCTCTCACACCTGGCTCCATCTCTCCCTCCCTCCATCTTCCCAGACATCTCACAAGGAGGGACCCTACAACTCTGGCTACTCTGCCTCTTGCCTGGCCTCTAAATCCCCTCAGCAGGATGGTGGGGCAGTCCCAGATCTCAGAGGTACCCCCCTATCTCGCCACCTCCCCAGTCTACCCTGAGCCAATCCCATCCAGTCCTTCAACCTGCACCCCACGTGCGTCCTGCCACACTCCCAGGACATCCACCTAGACACCATCAGCAAGCTCCCCACATCCTCACCCTCTGCCCTGCCAGGTCCCCCCCTCCTGCTCTCTGCACTCTGGTCTCCCCTGCACTCTCCAAGCGGGGCCTATCTCCTCAGGCCCACGCATCCTGACCACTGGGGACGGGAAGTGGGCTAGGTGAACGCACCTCCTCACTGCTGTCATGACCATCCTGGGGTCACCCCCATGTCACACCTCTTGCTCTTCTAAGGACTTTGCATGGGGCTCACTATCATCCCTCCACTCCTGTCTTAACTGTTGGTGATTCCATCACTGGAGTAAGCAAGCCTTCCAAAACTCTCTTAGGACTCCTGGTTCCTCGCCCTCTCTCCTCCAATGATCTCTGCACCTTACATAAACCACCAAGCCCCTTATCTACAGTAATAAATGTGCCATCATCTCAAATCTTTCCATGATCTCAATTTCAAGTATCCCCCTTTCCAACCACCACCTCCTACCCTCCAGCATCCCTAGTTACCCAGCCCACCGATGTCACCACTCACTCCCCCTTCACATCCCCCACCCCTGCTGCCCGCCTATAATCAGTCCTGCGTACATCCTCAACTTCTTTGCCCTCTGCGCCTCTGATGTGTTCATTGGGCAGCATCCAAACCCTGGTTACATCCAACTCTGCCAGCCCTGCCCTGCACTCCTGCTGCTGAATCTGGCTCCCACCTCAATGTCAGGACCATTACCCACAAGGGGGGCCTTTGTGCCGCCGACAGTCCCACCGTTGCTCCCTGTCCATTCATTTGCCTTTTCGCACCTTCTTCCTGAACCTCAACACTCACCGCCCCCAAACTTCCAACTGGCACCCTTACTTCCTATTTCAGTGAGGACAGAATCCAGCATGTGGGGAGCTGTGCTGCATGCTCTCTCCCCCCTCCTCCCATCAGCCCGCACGAGCTGGCCACCCACATGCCCAAGCAAACACTCCCAACATCTTTCTCCCCTCACGGTCCCAAGGTCCGGAGCAGCTCCGTCCATCAGAACTTCCTGTAATGAAATGTCCCACTCAGCACCCTCCCGAGCAGCAACCACTAACACACGTGCCTGCCCAACACCCGAAATGTGGCTGGTGTGGCTAAGAAAAGAATCTTACATCTTCTTTAATTTCTACTAGTTCAAACCTAAGTGGCCACACGCGGCTATGGATCCTGCACCGTAGAGCACGACACAGATTCAGCGAGTGAGTCGGGGGCCGTTACTGCCCCACTGACACCTCTCGCCGTCCTATTGGTGGGTTCCCGTGTGACCATCATCCTCTGCCCAACTGGTTACGGGTCCAACGAAAGCAGACGCTGCCCCGTAGTCTCTGGACCCTCACAGCCTGGCCTAGCGTCCTGGCCGCAAGAAGGGCTGAATAAACAGGACGGCGGAGGGAGCTGGGCAAGGACAGGGACAAACGGAAGACCCTTCTGCAGCATACTGGCTCCAAGCGTTCCACTTCTGGGGCAGGCAGAGAAGGACTTGTCAGCATGCACACGCCGGAGACAGGGGGCAGTTCCTGCTCCTCGGCTATTTTTTTTTTTTTAAGATTTTATTTATTTATCTGAGAGAGAGAATGGGGGAGAGAGAGAGCAGGAGAGGGGGGAGGGTCAGAGGGAGAAGCAGACCCCCCGCCGAGCAGGGAGCCCGAGGCGGGGCTCGATCCCGGGACTCCAGGATCATGACCCGAGCCGAAGGCAGTCGCCTAACCGACTGAGCCACCCAGGCGCCCCCGTCTTCTCACTTTCTTCTTCTTCTTCTTTTTTTTTTTTTTTTTAAAGACTTGATTTATTTGAGAGAGTGAGAGACAGCACAAGAGGGAAGAGGGCAGAGGGGGAAGCAGACTCCCCGCCGAGCAGGGAGCCCGATGCGGGGCTCGATCCCGGGACTCCAGGATCACGACCTGAGCCGAAGGCAGTCGCCTAACCGACTGAGCCACCCAGGCGCCCCCGTCTTCTCACTTTCTTCTTCTTCTTCTTTTTTTTTTTTTTTTTTTTTTTTTAAAGACTTGATTTATTTGAGAGAGTGAGAGACAGCACAAGAGGGAAGAGGGCAGAGGGGGAAGCAGACTCCCCGCCGAGCAGGGAGCCCGATGCGGGGCTCGATCCCGGGACTCCAGGATCATGACCTGAGCCGCAGGCAGCCGCTCAACCGACTGAGCCACCCAGGCGCCCGGCATCATACTATTTTTTTTTCTTTTTTTTAAGATTTTATTTATTTATTTGAGAGAGAGAATGAGAGAGAGCACATGAGAGGGGGGAGGGTCAGAGGGAGAAGCAGACTCCCCGCCGAGCAGGGAGCCCGACGCGGGGCTCGATCCCGGGACTCCAGGATCATGACCTGAGCCGAAGGCAGTCGCTTAACCGACTGAGCCACCCAGGCGCCCCCGTCTTCTCACTTTCTTCTTCTTCTTCTTTTTTTTTTTTTTTAAAGACTTGATTTATTTGAGAGAGTGAGAGACAGCACAAGAGGGAAGAGGGCAGAGGGGGAAGCAGACTCCCCGCCGAGCGGGGAGCCCGATGCGGGGCTCGATCCCGGGACCCCGGGATCATGACCCGAGCCGCAGGCAGTCGCTCAACCGACTGAGCCACCCAGGCGCCCCTCCTCGGCTATTTTTAATTCTCCCACCAGAGGAAGTAACCTTCAGCGAGTCCACCCCCCTCTCGGGTGGTAATGAAGGAAGTAGCCCTCATTCAGCCCCGCTCCGGTGGCCCTGCTTCCAAAAGAGACACCCGCTCGCGGCACCTCATTCTCCTCCAGGGCAAACCACGCAACGAAGCTCAGAACCCGGCTTCGCGCAGCTCGCAGGACAAAGCAGCCGCCCACCCGCCGGCGCTGCCCAGCCCGGCTGCAGAGCCCAGCGCCGCGCAGAACACCGGGCTCTGCAGCCGGGCCGTGGGGTGGGGCTTAAGGCTTCCGCAGACCCCACGAAACCCCGGAAGGCCCCCCAGAGTCTTCCCGGGAGGCGGGCAGACCGGCCCCCGCCGCGGCCCGCTACCTGCGCGGTCAGGCCCTGCTCCTCGTCGTCCTGGCCGTTCAGGACCCGCCGCAGCTTCTCCATGGCCCTGCTCCCCGCCGCACTAGCGGCCCCGCTCGCCGGACCCCCAAGCTCTCCGAGAACCCGGAACCCGGGGCCCCACGTGACCGGACATCCGGGCCGCCGCTTCCGGCGCTCCCAGCAGCGCGCGCCTGCGCGCCGGGGTCCCGCGGGCCGGGCCGGGCCGGGCCGGGAGTCTGCGCCAGGGGGCGCTGCGCTTGCGGGCGCTGGGGCTCGAGCCCCGACTGCCGCGGTCGCTGCTTCCCGTCGCCTGGAGTCGAGACGCACAGCTATGGCCATAGGATGAACGCAGGTCTTCACGCGTGAGCTCCGCGCTCGGTGCCGCAGATCCAGGGCCAGTGCTGCAGACCTGAGCCCCCCACTGCAGCCCCGGCGGCCGGGGCTGCAGGCCTGACACCCAGTACTGCAGCCCCGGCCTCCAGTGTTGCAGCCCCTGCATCCAGTACTGCAGGCCTGACACCCAGTACTTCAGCTCCAGCATCCAGTCCTGCAGCCCCGGCCTCCAGTCCTGCAGACCAAGGTCCAGTACTTCAGACCAACATCCAGTGCTGCAGACCCGACATGCAGGGCAACAAATGCGTTGTGCAGGCCTGACACCAGAAGAATACTGGGGCCAGTTTGGGAACACTGACAGGTAGGGTTTCGGTTCTAAACTGGACATCTCCTTACTACAAGTGAAGTTTTCAAAATATCTTCATTTGCAAGCAGTCAGCGGGGGAAGGGCAGACTTTGGGGCAGATGGTTCTGTGTTCTGATTTCAGCCCTGCCACTCACCCTGTGGCACTGGGAACCAGCTCTTCCCAGCCTAATCGCCTCAAGACATAACACCTACTTCAGTGGTTAAATGAGAATAGATATACTGCACCTGATCTCAGGCGAACTAGCAGGAGGCTGCCTTACTCTGTTTTACTTGTGAGTGTACTCACGGACTCAGTTTATCTTCCAACTAGGAATTTGAAAGAGTGAAACCCTACTTACTAGAGGAATAACTAATCCAACCCATCTTTCCAGTTTTGCATAAACACTGCAAACCTTCAAAAAACTGTCTACTGTTCTCTGGTTGCTCCAGGGTGAATGAACACTAGCCCATGGGGAAGAAGCATTTTTTTCCTTATTACCCACCATGGATATTTTAAAGAGAGATTAAAAATTAGGGCTACCTGTACAATATGAATTTCAGAGTATCTTGGAGCTTTCCATAAATATACTACTCTAAGGTCATCAAGTGATAGGTTTTGCTTTTGAGTTTGGTAAGATCATAATGAAAATGTCTATTATTTTGTTTTGTTACATCACCCAGATTCCTAAAATCTGACAATTAAAAGGTGATCCCCAGGGACTTTTATTATCCATCATAATGCCTTCAGTAGAGATTTTATCTCATCTCAGATAAATACAGGTATTATAAAGACCCTAAAAAAGCAGATCATACACTTGCTCAAATAAAGCAGTCCAATGTTCAGCATCTTTTGGGCAGAAAATACTTATATTTGGCCTATTTATACTAAAGTGTGAGATCTTATCTTTTTGTCCTTAATTTTAAAAGATCAGAAAATAGATGATAAACATCTGCTATAAGATAAATCTCTATGCTTCTAACTAATAAAAGAGTAAATACATCTATACCTTCTGTAAAGACTTCCTTTTGAACTATAGTAACTTTAGCTTTCCATATGCAAAAAGAGGAAACAAATGGATATCTCTGGTAATGGATAGAAAGCTTTCCAAGGATATATGAGATTGACCATGTAAAACTGACAATGTCTAACCACTTTTAACCTAAAAAGGACAATTTCCTATGTTTCAACCTATACTTGGGTATAAGACATTTTACTTGGAAGATAATACTGAACATTTAAGAATGTGGTTTGGGTTTTTTCATTTCTTGTACCTCCTGAGCCAGGCTTAGTTTCCTTAAAAATACTGCACAAAGTGTATTGGGGGTGTGACCCCCAATGCAAACAGTACAATCGTGGAATCTAGGCTCTGAAGCCAGACTGCCTGAGTTAGAGTCCTGGCTCCCCCACTTTGTAACTCTGGGATTTTGAGCAGGCAACCCACACTATTTCACTTTCTCATGTGTGAAAATGAAGGTGATAACAATCCCTACCTTGCAGCGTTGTTATAAGGATTGAATAAAAAAATTGCTGCAGTGGATCCCCATTTTTCATGGTTTCCGTATTTGCAAATGCGCCTAATTGCCAAAGTTCATTTGTAACCTCTAAATCAATACTTGCAAGTGTGTTCATGGTAACTGAAGGACAGGTGCAGAACAGCATAAAATTTGAATCATCTGGGGCACATGGTCCCCGCTAAGAGGGAGCAAGGTGATGCTCTGCCTTCTCATTTCAGTTCATACCATAAACAAGTGCCATTTTTGTGGCCTATTTAGTGTCATGTTTTTCACATCTTTGTGCTTTTTGTTGATTTCTTTTTTTAAGACTTCTCTTTTTTAAAGATTTTATTTATTTATTTATTTATTTATTTATTTATTTATTTATGACAGAGCATGAGTGGGGGAGGGACAGAAGGAGAGAGAATCTCAAGCAGACTCCCCAAAGAGTTGGACATTCAACCAACTGAGCCACCCAGGCGCACCTTTTGTTGATGATTTCACTGTTTTGAATGGTCCCCAAGCCTAGTGCTAAGGGCTGTCTAGTGTTCCTGCTCAGGAGGAGGCTTTGGCTCCCAGGCTGCTTCCCCTGGGACCATGGTCCCCACACCTGAAATCAACCCCTGCCCCCTCCCCCTGCCTCCCTCACTTCCCCTGATCGCAGGAAAGCAAGAATAAACGAGGCAAAGACCAGGCCAGAGAGGAGAGCCTGGGTCAGGGAGACAGAGGTCTCCCCACTGGGGGAGTGGGCCATGGGAGCTGGAGACTGGTCCTTTCTGCAGGCCCAGCCCACCCTCCAGATGGGAGCCTCCATCCTGTGTCAGGATCTCTGCACAAACCACCACCCCTTATTCCCACTTTTGGTGAATGAGGCTTGGTTCCCAGAGAGCTTCTTAGGAGAGGAACATCATACAGGGATGTAGGAGTCCTTCCCTTGTGGCAGCACTTCCAGCATTTTGAAAAAAGATACTGTAGAACTTTTAAAATGTCCTGTTCCCTCCTCTAAGATCTCATGTAGCACTTGGTAGGAAGTATCAAATGTGTCCAATACTCTTAAGCATTCAGATAGGAAATGACACTTGAAATTGAATTAGAAGTATCTTGGAAAGAGTGCAGAACCCCTAAGTTTGGATAGATGGAGTAATGTTTAATCATTGGTCTTTTACTCTCTCTCATGAGCTTGTCTCAACCACTTCTCTGGACATGGTAGCAAATCTTGATACAAGTAGTAACATCATATCCTCCTTAAGGACTAAGCCCCCCCCCCCCCCACTTTGTGAAGGAACAAATCAGTAACCAGTGAGCAGGTCTGTGGCCAGAGTTACCTGAGTCCTTCACAGCAGAAGGGGTCTGGGTCAGAGGGGAGCAAGGTGGGCCTGAGCAGAGGGAACAGGACTGCTTGCGAAGGTGTGGGTGGAAAGCAGAGATTCCTGTAGTTGCTTAGAAGTTATAGAACTGAGCTGAGAAGAGACGATACAGACCTCGGGAAAAACAGCCTAAGTTCTAATCATGTTTCCTGTTTTTCCAAAGAGACCTTAATTCTCCCTGTCGCATTTCCTGGTCCTGTTCCTGACATCCCCCCAGAAACAGAGTGAGCTGCTCTGACCACCACTGCCAGGAAGGTGACAGGAGGGAGGTGGCCGATTACAACAGAGCGCTAGCCCCATCCCCACACTTGCACTGAGGCCACAGGGATCCTGCGCTGATCCAGAGGCACACCCGCCCCAAGGGAAGGCAGACACGGAGGCCAGTACGTCCCAGGGTTTGAGGAGGCCAGCGATCCCAGGAGATACAAGGTGTACAGGTGGTCACCATCACCTCTGGCTGGTACGTCCAGGCTGGCCCCACCTGCAGCCACTCTCCATGCACTGGCTGGGGAGGTCCTTTAATTTTATTTATTTCTTAATTTTTTGGTGTGGAGGTCCTTTTTAATCTGTTCCACTCATTCTTCTGCTTAAAAGCTTTCCACTCCCCCCATGTTTTTAGAATAAAGATCACAGCGATAGTCATAAAGGACAGAGTAAGTTAGCATAATATAGAGAACTGGTCAGTCTTCTTTCCAGCCTCATGCATTACCACATTCTTTGCACAACCCGGGCGTGTGCACACGTGTGTACATGCATACACACACTCAGAAACTCACATGATTAGCCAGACCATCCTGCTCAAAGTCTATGAAATCTGTGCCCCACCTAAAAGCCTTTCTCTACTCCGTTCTCGTTGCTTGAAATCTTCCCCAAAATGCCTTGTCCCCCACCCCCAACGCCTCCAAGCTTCTTTTCTTGGCCAGTTCTCACTGACCTGTGGGTCTCCTTGGAGAGCCTTCCTGGACCTCCCAAGACATGGCCAGGTGCCCCTCCCTGTGCCCTCCTAGCTGCTCTGTCCATCCTGCACAGACTCACCAATCACTCTGCTGATGCCTGTCCCCAGTCAGCTGCCCCCCCGAGACAACCTGGTTCGTGTCCTGGCCCCATCCCGGGGCCGAGAGCCCGGCGCTGGGTGGAAGCTCAGCATGAGTTCCTCTAATGAATAAATGAGTAACAATAACTAGAGCATGTTAAAGAATCTGAGGTATAAATTGCTTCCGTATGACATCTAGGGTTGACTATAGAGGACAAAATAAAGCCAGATGTTAATTAATGAACAGTTATTTCTTGCGTATGTCCTGTGTGGCCATGCTACCCGGGTCGGCAGCGTATGTCCATGGATGAGTGACAGAAGTCCTGTCCCTACCCAGTGATGGAGCTGGCTGGGAGAGAAGAGGCTTTAAGAAGTCATTATAATGGGCAAACTGTGGTTCAGCCAAGCCATGGGATATTACTCAGCCCTAAAAAGAAACAAGCTATCAAGTCATGAAAAGACATGGAGGAACCTTAAATGCACATTACTAAGTGAAAGAAGCCAATCTGAAAAGGCTACATCCTGTATGATTCCAACCACATGACATTCTGGAGAAGGCAAAACTACAGAGACAGTGAAA